CTAATTTTGCAATCCAAATCCTAAGGCAAGCTTGAGGGAAAAGAGGATAATTTGATAGATGAACAGAAGTTGAAATAATTTTTGAGGTCACAGAAATCTCACTTACAATTTGCTCTGTTTATAGAGTGATTAAAATAAATAGAAACAAGAATTTACTCCTCTGCCTTCACTATAATATTTATTTTATTTCTGTTGTATTTTGCAACAGATGCCACTATTTTGTAGTGCAAACTTTGATGTCTTTTTTTTTTAAGTGAATAGCTTCAAATTGTCTGACATATTTATACTACTTTTTATTTACTAGGGTTTTTTTTACTAAAAAACCAATATTTTTTCTTTGCCCTTGGACAAAGTTTTATGAAATTGATTGATCTAAAATTAAATGGTAAGAGTCGGGCCTCAGCCATACTATATATACACTATATATCAAACCATTAAACTTTGCTTTTTTAGTGTTGTTGACTCTGTCCTTATATAATCCTGAACTCTGTCAAAATCCTGAGTGTGGCATAACCCAAGTGGGAGAGCCAAGCTTCCCCCTTCCCTCAGTAATAAAAATACTATTTCTTCTGCTGTGGTTCTAATATCCACCAAACTGGGAATCCAACCAAGCTTTATCAGGCTTCATATTATACATAATTGAGGTCAGGGTGTGGATTTGTTTGGGTTTTTTTTAAAAACAATTCATCAGTTCTTCAAGACTCCTGGAGGCATCCTGCCAGTTCCTTAGTATCTACACAAGGTTATGGAAGTAAACAAGGAACTCAAAGTGAGCCGCTATGGTTACCACTTTGAGTAACTGGGTTGGTTTTCAGCATGGAAGTGTTTAATCAGGTGGCTTATTCATCCTGCCCATTGTTAAAACCTCTCTGTGCCATGTTTGCTTGCCAATTAATGTTAATGCAAATTAAATTTTCATACCTGCTACTGTCTAAATTAAAATCTTACTTGCAGCCCTTCTCTGCAATGTGTAGCTTTGAGCTCTTCAGTTGGTAGCATGTTCAACCTCTTTCTTTCTTCCCTTTTCTCCTCTCTGTACTTTTATTGTGCTTTAGAAGTATGACCCATTTCTTAGCTTCTGAAAGTGCACAAGTCTAGCCACGTGCAAAGTAACTGCAGAGTGCAGAATGCTGTTATCAAATCCACCTGCTGTGTCTTAGTCCAGAAAAATAATCCTGCATTACTTCAGTCTGTGACAGGAAGGGAAAAAGTAAGAGATAATGGAGGAGTGAATTCCTGTAACTATCTAAGGAATGAAGAAGAAATAATGATACAGGAAACAAGTGATATAAGGAGAAGGTGAAGTTTCTGATGTTGGTTTGAGGATGGGAACTTAAGCTTTTCTGTGCATACTGTTGTAGTGTACAACTAGATGAACGTCTCTCCAGTTTCTCTATTCCCTGGTGATAAAGGTACCCCCCACTATGTGACACAAAAAAAAAAACCCAAAAAAAATAAAAAGAAAAACAAAAGAAAAACAAACAAAAAAACCTTTTAGAAAGGTTGAAGTGGAAATATCTAATTTTTAATTTGCTTAACTAATGCTATTTTTCTGTGCAAAATTTGTGGTTTAGAATACAGTTTTTTGAATCAGTGCAGGAAAGTCACAGAATGGTTTGGGCTGTAAGGGAAAAGGACATCTAATCCAACCTCTCGGGCAGTAGGCAGGGACACCTTTGACTAGAGCAGGTTGCTCAGAGCAACCAATTATGTACTGAAAGGTGAAGGAACAGTGAAGTAGTAACAGTATTACTTTTGCTGACTCCTGATGTTCAGCTTTGAATTGTCTTCAATTAAATAGTAGCTCCTACGTGCACAGTGGCATGCACACAGTGTTTTCTGATAACCATCAAATCTTTCTGAAACAATTCTGAATCTGAAATCTGAAAATGCTTACAAAAACTTAATCTTTTTTCCCCCACTCTATTCTTCCTGTTTGCAGACTTTCAGGTCTGAAAACACCTCATTTTCTCAATGGATTTAGCTAAGGGATTTATTTTATAATCTGTATGAAATATGAGCTGCTTGTTTTTAAAACTTTTTAGGAGTAGGAAGAATAATTGGAGATGTTTCTCCAAATTCTGAGATTAGGCAAAGAGAAGGAAAGGAGAGGAAGGAATGTGTGGGTAAACAAGGAAGAAGAGTTTGAGAAGAGCACAGAAATTTATTTTATTTCTCTAATCTAGAAGCCGGATAATGCTTACTTTTGTTCAGTAATGTTTTTAACTCCCTAGTGTTTTCATATCCCCAGTGTTTGGTTTGTTTTGGTTTTTTTTTTTGTCTCCAGTGTACTGGTCTTATTTTCATTGTCTTGATCACTTTGCTAAAAGTCCTGCATGGTCAGGCATGTAACTGTCCATTTTACCACAGTTTAATCTTACTGAACCATGAGAAAAATTAAGTACCATGAAACGTAGACTAGGTAGGTGAACCTTCCCAAACTCGAGACCTCTAGACCTGAAAAGTATCTTAAGTGAAAACCTACCTATAGAAGTGTTCAGCTGATTTTGCAAATGGACATGCACTGCATATTACAATGTTAATTGTTAGTTACAAATTATAATATGCTAGTTTTATTCTTTGTGCCTCTTGAGAAGAATGGTATTGCAATATGCTTTTTGGGACTGCTTCAGTTTATCTCCACAGGGATATCAAAGATTTTGTTTTCCTCTTACAACATGCTGGTCATATTTGTCCTCTAACCTTGAAAATGCAGTGTGAAGTACAAACAACATATGCTCCACCCCAGTTTGTTAATCTACCAAAAGCAATTATGAGTTCATGTTTTATTTGAGCTACACTGGCCTCTCCTCTTTCCATGTAGCCTGGTTCCAGTCTGGGGAAGCCTTCCAACCACAGAAGAAATGAATGTTCAAAACTCCTGCAAGCAGTTTGACAATTTTAGTACTGTAACAGTCACAGAAAATTCACATGCTAAGAACTTTTCAGAATATCCTGAGCTCTTAGAGCTTCACCTTAGCCTGTCCTCTCACACACGGGGTCTTGACTGTCATCCTAATTTTCTGAAAAGAGAAGGGATTATTAGGAGATAGAATTAATATTTCTAGTCTGATAACTGCAGCGTGTTTTAGAGTCTGTTGCATTCTGTACATTTCCTTTTGTTCCCAGAGAGGCTGATATTTCTGCACAGCCTTCTGATGACTGATGTCACTTCAAACTCTTCAAGGTTGTACCTGCGGCATCTTCACCAAAGCCAGATGTTGTGGCAAGCTCTCTCAGGCGACACTAATCCAGACATTCAGCTGTCAAAATCTTTCTTCTTCTTGGAATCTTCCTTCTTGCCCAGAGAACATACTAAAGGAATATTCTTCTCTTTGAAAAATGGAGGTGTATCATATTTTAGTCAATGGAGCCTGGACAGAAATCTGGCTGATTTGCTGCTATGTGCTCCACTTGATCTGAGCTGAATTTCTCTCTAAGCTTCATGGATGTAACCTCAACGTGTATTTAATCCTCACCTTATTGGTTTTGGGTGGGAATGTTGCCCAGAGTGAAGAGGTGAATGGATGTTCAGGAAATGCCAGTTAAAAAAAGTAGTTCACTTTTGACTGAATATTGTTTCTCTATGCAGAGTCTTGTTTATATGTTTGTGAATTTAGGAACAGTAGAATTTTATGGAAATACTGTCACTAGTTTTTTTCAGAGATGTGCCATGAGATTAGATGCATCTTTGGTCTGGTAATATATTTATGTGTTAGCTGGACGGTTTGGTTCTGATAACTTTGGAAACAGTGAGTGTTGTTATGTCCAGATAGGAAAACAAGAATAATTTAAGTAGCTCTGAGGGATTTTAGTAGATGTAACAATCAAGACTAAACTCCTATCTCTTTAACTGCACTAAGGCTTCTTTTTGCAAATCTACAGGTGAAACATTACTATTCATACACAAAATGGTATTTATAATGTTGCAGAATACTAACAATTTATAATACTTTATTCTATCTAGTTGTTCACTAGTGACAGCAGATCTGGTGGATCAAATCGGAATAAGCATGTCTGTAGACTTTATGATCTTGTCCTCCCTTGTTTGGAGCACAGATTTCAAGATTTTGTGTGTTTGCTACTGTACTCTAAAGCTTTGTAAAGTAAACGTAACATCTCTAATCTGTGCTTTTTCCTCAGTTTAAATACATGAGGGGATTATGTTAGATCACATTGGAAAGAAAATATTGATAAGACTTTCAACAGGAAGTAGATCTCTAAAGGAAATTTCTTGATCTGAAACAGAATTTTGTTCACTTTCAGAACATGCCACATGTTTAGCTCTGTAAAAGAAGCATCCTGAAAAGATGCAAAACATTTAGCGTTCATGAGTCAGCAGTTGCCAGTTGCTCTGCTGTTTGAAGGACAGCAGAGTTGATGGTGGTGTAGAGAAGAGCAATTAGAGTGGTGAGTGATGGAGCAACTACCCTGAGGAGAGATTAAGAAGGCTGAGACTCCTGAAAGAATGTAGGAGGCTGGGGGCTTTGTCTATTTGTAAAAGCATTAAGGTAGTCGGTAAGTTGAATTCGTTAGGTATTCACCAGAACTTGTGAGACTTGAGCTAGCAGGCATTCACTGTAACTGGCAGATTAATTTAAAATAGAGCACATGCTTCTTTAAGTAGGAGGTGAACTGCTGCTGGTGCAGGAATTCTGCTGGCAGAATATTAGCAGATTTGAAAAAGCACTAGACAAATTTGTATGCAATAAACCGATAAATAAATAGTGACAAGAACAACTAAGGATGTGTGTCAAACACCATAGCTGTTACCAGTGTGGATTCTGAACACATGCAAGAGAAAGAGATTGCATAAAAGAATCAGGCTTGTGTATTTTATTAAGTGGTGTCTTCAGTTAAAACTGTCAGAAACAAAATGTGGATCTGATACAGAAGATAACTTCTTATATTCACTTGTGTTTATTTTATTTACTCTTTATTTGTAAATAACCACTTTTCCCATACAAATGATACTGTTTGTTTCATATGAGAGATCCTAAACTGACCATAATTTATTTCTTTCATGCTTTACAGTGAACAACCCTATACCTTCCAACCTGAAGTCAGAAGCTAAAAAGGCAGCTAAAATTCTACGAGAATTTACAGAAATAACTTCCAGAAATGGACCAGATAAAATCATACCACGTGAGTAAATAAAACACTTTGATTCAGCTAAAACCTTCAGCGCTCTCTGTGTTGCAGTCATGCTGTCTTTACCAATTTCCTGTTTCCACTGACCACAACATAGAGATGAATGAAAATTTCAGGTGCCATAACTTCTTTGAAAATATTTTGGAAGTAAAGGGTTTCAGTTTGCTGTATTCTTGGTAGATGTTACTTACTGTGAGAGATCTTTTGAATGTTTACTGTTACAAGGTACCTGCACTGGAAGGATTCCCCCGTGGGTGGACGGACTGTCTCAAGCTCAACTCTGTAAATGTCTGTTCTTCAGAGAGAACCTGGCATAGTAGCTCTAGCTCTTGAATATCTGTTGATTAGAATTAGCTAGATGGAAATAAGTTGAAGCAAAGAAATCAGGGTGATTTTCCTTTTGATGCTGGTTCAGGACTCTTATTTGCTGCTTTATTTTTGCAGTTGTTACTCTGTGTTTCCCCTAGTGTCTTCCTCCACCTGGTGTTGCTGGTTGTGGTTTTGAATCCTTAACTGTTAAGTTCTGGAAGGTCTGCAATAAGATTTTCAGGATGATAACACATCAGTATTTGCCACAAACACTGTCTAATGATACAAACATGTTAGGCTGCTCTGTGTTGCTGTGATTGAAATTTAGACTCCTCCAAAAATTTGTGGAGACATGGTTGTCAGCTATTCACTGCCTGTTTTCTGTTTATCTTGCCAAGGGTACTCACACAGTGTGCGCCACTAAACAAATTAATTCTATACAAGCTAATCAGGACACACGAAGCAGTTGTGGCAGTGTATAGATTGTTACAAGCTAATGTGACCTGCAGCTAGGTTTGTGGTTCTCTGTGGTGGAAGTGTCATTATCAGCTCAACTTTTTTTGCAGTTTTCTTTAAGCTTTTGCTTTAATTATTTGACTCTTGGGTTCATATTTGTTGAATGTTTTGTTTTCCCCTTCTCTTAGAACTTCTCTTGCAATGTCTTGAGTAAATGATTTTGCTGTTTCAGCTCATGTAATAGCTAAAGCCAAAGGTCTTGCAGTTTTGTCTGTTATCAAAGCTGGATTTTTGGTGACTGCTCGAGGTGGAAGTGGGATTGTATTAGCTCGTCTTCCTAATGGAGGTAAGTGAATATTTTGTCCTTCATGAGAGAATTAAAAGATATAAAAATCTATTTTTTCATTATTCTTTTCACAGCATAAAACAGGAGATGTGTGATGAGTCAGGCAAATAGGTGACAGGTGACAATGTTTGGTGTGAAAGCTGTTTTCAAATCTTTGTACCTTTGTTTGACCAAATGTAAATGCTTTCAGTATCTTTGTGGAAAAGGATGAAATATGAAAGTACCTACTGTAAAATTCATTCGAAAAATTGGTTATATCTGATTATTAAGAAGTATATGATAAATAATCTGTAACAAGGAATTGTTTTGATTGTGAAGGTTTGTATTTCTTAAATCCTTTCTTATAGGATGAAGCATTATAGTTATGATTCTATTGTAGTGGTTTTGAACATAGTTTTAAATAGAGAATTTGTTTTTTAACTGTAAAAATAAAATTAGTATTTCTTGTAATATATGGTGAAAATGTATCTTCTTTCACATGACAGCCTGGTCTGCTCCCTCTGCAATAGGAATTGCTGGTCTTGGTGGTGGATTTGAAATTGGAATTGAGGTATGGTTTTGTATTTGAAATGCTCGTTGGTAACTTTTTTTGCAAGAAATTAAAATACATTGAAAAAGTTCTAAATGTTAGTGAGATAGTAGAATCTACTTTTATGTACAAAATACTATTATGAAATCTGTTTATCCAAACAAAAGAGTGATATTTAATCCCATCAATGAAATTATTAAAGACATTTAGATGAAAAAAGTGACATGATACTAATTTCCTTGATTTCTCACTTCTTGCAGACTGAATTTTTCACTTAGAGAGAGCTTCCTGTCAGAGTTCCCATATAAAACAATTGAAGTTAATTCAAAAAGCATCCTGTAAGGGCACAGGGACTCCATCTGGCAAGAAACAGTGTAAAGAGCTGAAGTTGGAGTAAAATGGACTCCACTTAATGTTACTGTACCTCCCACATTTGCCACTCACACTTGTGGTTACTGACATAACCCTTCAGTTTGAAAGCACCAAAATTGATGATGCCTCTTCTGAAGGAACACTACAGAAAAGGATCCAGTTCCAGCCAGCAGAAATGCTTAAGTAAAGGACTCCCAATATTCAGAGAAACCCTGATGAGCTGAGCCCTGACAGTGCTCTGCCTCTGCTTCCTGCTTCTTCTTCCTCACAGCTCCTTAACACTTGTATGTTTTCATCTTTCCTCTGCTTCCCCACCCTAGCCTTCAGACTTTTCCTTCTCTTTGTTTAGCTTCTGTTCTGCTGATTGCCAAAGAAAATCAGAATAACAATACACTGCCAATATGATCTCTTGCAATGGGCATTCTGCTCTTCAGAAGAATCCATGGATCTGGGTGATCCATGCCAGCCCCCAGTACATCTACAGCTAGCCAGCTATCCCTGTCCTGGCAGTCAGTCAGCCAGCACTCACATATTAAGCAACAAATCGATATTTTCTTCTCTCCTCATTTGTTCACTGTGTGATCTCGGGCATTATTGCATGCAGTTTTTAAAGGATGATGTGAATACAAAATCATTAATTTTTATAAGGAATTTTCATTGGTTCTCATTACTACAGGATCTGAATGCATTTTAAAGTGTTCATCTTGAGCCCTAGACCTTGTCTTGTTGTGGGGTTTGTTTGGCTTTTTCTTTTCTTTTAAGCCTCTTCATGTGTTTTGATTAATGTATGAAAATTTTCTTTGCATCATCCCCACCTGATATTTTAGATAACGTAGACATTTACTATTGATACTGAATCAAATAATTTCAATACAGAAGCTATTTGTGAGAGGGATTTTTCCCTGGGTAATACTTTGCCCTTCATTCGAAATTTAAGTCAGCTTAAAAAATGCTGTTTCCATACTGCCATTATTATAACACAATCTTTCTTATTTCTTCTAGAAAATATAGAAGTATAGAAGTTATAGAAGTTACTCAGAAGTACCTGAGTGACTTAGGAGCCCAAAGTCCCATTTCAGCATTTTTCTAGTCCTATATGAACTTAGATGTTTAAGAAACTAGGTGAAATTTATTCCTATAGGAGAGATTATAGTTGACATAGTTGTAATGATACTTATGGATGTTTTTAACAAACAAGAAAGGAGATCACGCTTCAGAAGTCACAGTGACTTGGTACTTCAAATTAAAGACCGGTTTTAAAATTCATATAAATTCTTTCCTTGAAGACTTTCTCACTATGGGTTTGCTTATTTTTAACAATGGATTCATACTCTTAATGGGTAAGAGGAGGAAGCAGTATCCTGAAAGGCATTCTCCCTCCATGGCTGGATGATTCACAAACTGCTCCTGTAGCCATCTTTTGTTTGGAATGGGGTGGAGGTTACCAGGGGGCTAATGACAAAGACCTCTCTTATGCTGTGTGTAATACTTCTAGGCAGCCTTGTTTTGCAAATAATCTGGTATTTCCTCTTGTGTTCCCTGCTGTCACTGTTTGGATTTTGGGGTAAGTTGAAAGTTTTTTTCTGAACCTGGCTTTCAGTCAAGTCCATCAGATGAAAGATCAGGTGAAAGTCCTTGGGTATATTGCTATTTCTTCAATTATTAGGTTTGATAGGTTCTTGAAACAACTGACTACATCTCATATTCAAATCTTTAAAGATTAATTAATAATTCATATACACACACACAGATATATAAAACTTCTGTTATGAAAATAAAGTTTTAACAATAGAACCCGTATTCTCTTTGCTTTTTATACTTTGTGCAGGAATTTTTGTTCAGTAAGTTCTATCTTGCCTTTATTACTTTAATTATTGAAGGATTCACATCTGAAAATGTGCCTTCATAATTGTTTGTATAAGCCATAGAAAATAAGAAATTGTCAATTAGGAATTTTGAATTAACACAGAGTTTCTTTTATAGCTGTTGTTTATCACATACTGACCTTATCAGCACTTTGAAAAAAATCAGTCAAATTTGATTAAAAAAATAGTTGACAGGATTTTTCATTCAAGATACCTTGCAGAAAAAGAATCAACTTTGTCATGAAAGCTGTTTCAAATAATCCTTTACAAGAAAGGAAGATCATCTCCTGTGTTGTTCTTTCTTCTTAAAAAGTGTAGTACTTTTATTTGATATTTTATAGGTCTCAGACTTAGTGATAATACTGAATCATGAAAGAGCAGTAGAAGCTTTTGCCAAAGGAGGGAATCTTACACTTGGAGGAAATCTTACTGTGGCAATTGGACCTCTGGGGAGGTGGGTAATATGTTTTTCTAATAAAGCATACATGGAAGATAATTTTTAAAAGCCACATTGGTGTGACCTTTTTTTTATATGTTACAGAACAACCTGGGCAACAGGTTATGCTGACTGGACCATATTGTTCTTGCCAATTTTTTTTTTCTTCTTTCCTGATTAAGTAATTTATTGGTAGAAGCAAACTGTTCTGAGATTTGCTCTCTTTTTGCAAGAGACTGCTTGGTTAGGCTCAATGAAGAGCGCAGATGCTTCTGTGCCTGATAGAACTATGATATTTAGTAATATATGGGTCTGTGCTTTCTGTCACCACAGATCTGCCCAACATTAAATAAAAACTACACCAAATGATTTCTTTTAAACCTTTAGATGGTTAAGCCTGTTTACTTTGAAGGATGAGGTGAAATAATCACTGAATAATTTTACTTGGAAATGAGTTTTTACTGCTGGTGTTTAATATTTGCTAACAAAATAAAAGGATGACACTTATTGCACAGAAGAGCGAGAGATCCATGGATCAGGGAAGGGCAGTGAATATCATCTACCCTACAAGTCACTTAGTACACTGTCCTGCAGCATCTCTGTGTCCGAGCTGGGACATCAGTGTCAGGGTGGGGAGATGAGCAAACAGCTGAAGAACCAGATCGTCAGGTTAGAAGAGCAGTGGTAAATGGTTCATGTTGAAGTCTGAAGCCAGATTTCTTTAGAATTCCTCGGGAGACTCTACTAGGACCTCTCCTGCTTGGTATTTTTATCAGTGACCTAGAGGAACAGTTATAAAATATCCTCTTTAAGTTTATGGATGACTCCAAACCAGGAGCTGCAGCCAATGCACTTCAAGGTAAGGCCACCATTCAGAGCAATGGACCTAGGGAGTGTAGAGGAAAGACCCAGCATGAAACCCCATGAAATTAAACGAGGACAAGTGCAAAGTTCTGCACTCCTAGCTGGATGAACACCCTGTCAGGCTGAGCAGCTTCCCTATAGAGAAGGTGCTGGGAATCTGGTGGGCACTGGGGCTAAGCCAGCAGTTGGTTCCTGACAGAAAAGGCAGTGAACAGTGTAGGGGGTTGCATCAATAGGACTGTAACCAGTAGATATGGGAAGTGATTTTTGCCCTTTACTTGACATTTCCTAGACTGTGCCTAGAATATTGTGCTGAGTTTTAGCCCTGCAGAAAGTTGTTTATAAAGCTGTGTGTGCAGTGAACCACTACCTAAATGGCCAGGGAAATGCAGCATGTGAACGACGAGGCTGGGAGAGCTCAGCTTATTGAACCTGCATGAGAGAAGACCTTTGAGGCTGCATAAACAACGGCATCACCAAAAAGACAGACCTCAGTTCTTTACAGGAGTGCATGGAAAGGCAATGAGAGGTAGTAGTCATATATCGAAACAAGTAAGGTTCTGACTGGATATGAGAAAAAGAAATTTGACATTAATAAAATTGAGTGCTGGTACAGGTTGCTCAGAGTGTCTGTGGAATTATATCCTTAGAATTCTTCAAAACCTGGCTGGACAAAGTCCAGAGCAGCCTTCTTTCAGTTTGATGTATCCATTTTGAGACTGCTGTCTTTAAGTGATCCTGTGAAGGACAAATACTGTAATCTTCCAAATCTGTTAAAGTTCAGTGTGGCCTTCCTTGAAGTGTTTGTGCTGAGCATAAAGTCTAGGAGGATTTGGAAATATTGAATAGAGTTTCAGTCACCAGTCCAAACATAATCAGATAATTTTAAAATTTGATTAAAGTGTGGCTTAATAGTTTTCAGAGGAAGCTGTTAAGATCCAGTTATTAAAATTATTACAGTGATGCCTCTGCCCGAATTAGACGCAAGTGAGACCCTATGCTGAAGTCAATAGTATGGATTTTATTTAACAGTAAATGTGAGTGGGGGAGGGAGAGAGAAAGAAATAGAAGAAGAGGAAGAGAGGAGATAAAGAGTGACAGAAAGACAGACTGAGTAGAAAATATCACCTCTCTGTGGATCCAAACAGTGTCCTGTTGATCCTCTTCTTCTGGTCTTCTCTATGGTGAGGGTTCCATGGATGTATGTTCAATGGATATGTTCAGGCTATTTGGGAATACCCAGGTACCTCCCCTGGTTGGGAAATTTTACACTGTCTCTTGCCACAGGCTCTGATCTGTTGCATCCCTTTGCATCACATTCAGTCCTTTGGTGCAAAGCCTGAGGAATCAGTCTGAGGGTGCTTTGGAGGTCTTTGATGGTTTATGATCCCTTCTCAGACATGACAGCTGCCTCTAGTCAGTACATTGAGTCAGTTATATCCCATCAGACCTTCCCTAGGGGAGGGGTTGGGAATTGTGTGAGAGAGAGCAATTACCATGATATTGATAAAAGGTGCCATCCCACCTTGCAGGATTTGCTTCAGCAGCCTGAAAGCCTGGCTTGAAGCCTCCTCCTCTGTCTTGTGTGATTCCCACTGCACACCCCAACTCACCTCCCCTCAAAGGATGCAAACCTGGCCTCAGCAAATCACCCTGGAGCTTCCATGATTGTTTTGAGTAATAAACCATGAACAGTCCAGTCTCTCAGAGACCTAATGGGGAGCATTCATATGAAGCAACATTTTTTCTGCTTCTGTCTGAAAACAGGGTAAAAATAAAATGAAGGATTAAAATAAAAAGATGATTGCTGTTCATGCTAGAAAACTGTATTGAAGAATATAAACCAAAACTTTTTCCTTCTAGAAACTTAGAGGGGGATGTTGCCCTGAGAAGCTCTGCTGCTGTCTATACATATTGCAAGTCTCGTGGACTGTTTGCAGGTGTATCTCTGGAAGGAACCTGTTTAATTGAAAGGAAAGAAACAAATCGCAAGTAAGCTCTCTTAATATCTAAAAGGTCCAGTGAATGCATAGTGACAGAATTAACTAGGACACATTCACTTTGGAAAAAGAGGTTTTTGTGAAAACATGCTATGTTCAGTTTAGAATTTCTTGAGGGACAGGAGTTTCTTCAATTTGGATATCTTGAAATGGGTATTGAGATGATGCTAAATGTTTAGGGATTAATTATCTGTGGCAGTTGACCTTAGCTAGCCACTACATGCCAGTGCAATTGCTTTCTCACTCCCCCTCCTCAAAAGGATGAGAGGAGATGAAGTATGATGACAAACTCATAAATTAAGACAAAGGCAGTGAGATTACTTACCAATTGCTATTTCAGTCAAAAAACCTCTAACCTCATCCAGGGGGAATTAGTTTAATTTATTTTCAGTCAATAAGAGAATAAGATAAGGAGAAATAAGAACAGATATAGAAACACCTTTCCCCCGCACACACCTTCCATCTTACTGGGCTCCCCTTTAATCACAGCTTCCCTACCTCCTCCTCCCAATTGGTGCAGGAAAGTGGGGGTTGTGGTCAGTTTTCCAAATTTACAGCTTTGAAATAGTTCTGTCATCTCTCAGTAAATGATCAGTAGGAAAAATTCAGGGCTAGGGATGGAGATAGGGAGCATTTGCACAAAGTGAATTTATCTAAAAGTTGAAATGTAATAATAATCAAATATCTGTAATCTTTATTTTTTTTATATCAGGTTTTATGGGCAGGACATTCGTGCTAGTGCCATCCTGCTTGGTGATGTGCCTTTCCCTGCTCAAGCAGATGATCTTTATGAAATTCTGGCATCCTTCACTGAAGTGTATGAAAATGAAGAGCAAAAAAATAATCCAGGAAAATCTGTAAGGGAACAGAGAAGGGTTTGTGCACTTCTTTTTCACACAGGCTTTCCCTGTTCCTGAGCTGTTCCTAAACAGTGTTAATGCTGATGTTCATGTGTCATTTTTAAATTCTCTATTGGATGACTGAAGGTGTAGCACATGCCAGTTACTGCATGTGGAACATTTGTTCAAGTATTTCCCTGGTAGGCTCTTGGGAGCAAGAATGTTGCTGGGTTTGCTTTGCATCTTCCAAATAACAAAGTATATCCTTGTTTTGTGATTGTGCATTATCAAATCTGAGGTGATGATTAGGAATGTTTGATCAAGTATTTTTAGTCAAGCTAATTGCAGATTGGATACTCTTAGTTCTTCCACTTTCTCTATCATCCATTCAAACATTCACATTTATAATGTAATACTGGGTTTGTAGAAAATATTTTCTTACAGATGTTGATGTTACTGATAGCCTTTCAGCTTTGTTAAACCCATGGTGATTTCAGTATCATGTGTATGTCATTTGTGTTAAGTATGCTTCTTGAGTTCCTACAAGTTCCGTGGAAAAAGAGTAATTTTATTGTGTAACTTGACATACTTCTAGGCTCTGAAGTCAAAATCTATGTCCAGGTGATGCTATGTTTTTAAAAAATTTGTGTACCTTAGGTAAATGACCGTCCTGCTAGACCATCATCCAGACCAGAGCCGCCTAAACCAGCTGCTAGACCTACACCACCAGGTGAAAAATTTTGATAATGGCTAATTATTTCTCTTCATAAAATTAGAGCATTAAAGCCAATTAATACTATGCAGTTATTATAGCAGCTGCCTCTAGAAAAACTTTTTTTAAATACTCTTCCTTGTACGAACAGTGAAGACATATTGGTGTACAGCCATGAGTGATAAAGACTAAAGGATTTGTTTGTTTTATATTAACAAACCTTTTCTCTCTGACAGCGTTGCTATAGACACTGTGTTTTTATAGTTACAGAATCATGTAATAATTCAAAGGAAATATGTTACTGGATACATAGTACAATTAAACTTCTTAGTAAAAATAACAGTCTTACTAGAAACTGCTGGTCCTAGTTCTAGAAACTTCTGGTTTCTAGAAATCATAGTTTATCTTTTGGTTGTCATTATCTTTTAATCATTAGAGGTTTTACAGTAGAAAAGAGGCAAATTTTTGGCTCTTTAACATTCATTCAAAGTGCTTTCATTCAAAGTGAGGCTTTGCTGTGCAGCTCCTCTTGTTAACTTAATTCTCTGGTTAAGGATATGAGGCAAAGTCTATATTTCTTTCTTCTGCACTGGTACTTAGTTAACTGCAATGATTTAATAACTGTTGAACTTGTATTAGAAGAACAGTATACGAAACACAACAAAATAAGTTAGCTTGTCATATAAGTTGCTACTTTATTTTCTCTTTCAGCTAAAAAGAATACAAATAGACTTTATCCTGAACTTCCCAATGATTATGCATCTGTGGGTAAGTACTAAGCTTACACTTATTTTATTAATACAGTGCAGAATCTGAGAAGTCCTATAAGTATTTTGAAAGCTATGTAAAAATATCTGGCCATTGATATTTGTATTAAAAAGAGATTCAGGTCTTGTATGATCTCCTGAAAATATTTCATAAACATTAATCCTATTAATAATTGAATTAATTAATCTTATTTTCCGGCTTAACATTCTAACAATGATATTCTTTTTCTGAGCAGCACAAGTTCTTTTGTTTTATTCTGTGAGCTTGAAAAATGCACTTGAAGTAGTAAAATTGTTTTATGTTACCATCTAATTGAAATGAAAAAGGAAGCTGATATAAAAAGCTTCTGTTCAAGTCCTTATGCAATGTACAGTAATTCCTATTTTAATTTTAAAAGTGCTTCTGCAGATGATACCTGATTATGCTGGCATAAACACAGATTTACATTGCTTCTTCAGGTTTTTATACTGGAATAACTCTGTGTCACACTAAGGATATTACTTGTTTGTTGTTTTATTGATTCTCTTATGTTTAAAGCACTTTCAGCTCTTAATCAGGAGAATCTTACTGTACAGTATTTGCATTCCATATTGCATATATATATATGAATATGTACTTACATTTTCATGTATTGCATGCTCACTTGAAAATAAACAAAATATCTCTTTTTAAATTCTGCAAATAGGGCTAAATTTGAGCTTGATAATAGATCACAACGAAGACAAAGAGTAATTAGAGCTTTTCACTAAAAATTAAGATAAATTATGTGTCATTGTCTTTACATTCTTTTTCATATCTTCTCTTCATACATGCTCTTGATATGTGTGTTGAAGGGGCCAACATAGGAGTATCCTAAGCTGAGCTGTCCATGTGGCTTCTGCAGATCAGAGACTTCCTGAGAATCAAGATTTGTTATTGTGTTGTGAGAATTTTACAAGAAAAAGAAAGATGACTGTAGTGGTCTGTACTCAATAGCTGTCAGCCAAGAGAAAACTGGTCTTCTGGCCATTAAAACTAAGCTTTCCCAGTCTTACCAAAGCCCTGACCAACTGAGGTTTCCAAAGCTTGCACTATTTGCTATATTGGGGGGAGTGTTCTTCTATTCAGGTGCAAGTGACAAGGTAAAAATATTCCAGAGCCATCTGTTGAATGGCTTTCAAGATTCTTTGAAATAAAATATAGACTCAGTCTGCTACTGGGGATTTCTAGCAATCGAAATATACAAGTTTATCTTTGAAGAATGAGAGGGGCAGTAGGATCTTGTCTAAATGATGGCATGGTATATTTGGCTTTCTGTTACAGATTACAATTCCATAGGTAACAGTTCAAATATTTTCTGAATCCACAGAAATACTCTAAGTTTCTAAAAGCTAAAGGTGTTTTCTTTTTGCAGGGAGCAATCAAGTCAAGAGTCACAGTCCCTTTCAAAGAGGATGTATTAATGCTGGGGGATGACATAGAAAGAGCTATAAGGCCATCCCTCCTGTCAGTAATTTGTTTCTGCCTATTTATAGTGCAAATTATTTCAACACAGCTACCTAGCAGCTATAGCACATACATGTCAATCTTTATTGTAGGAGTAGTTGCTGCTGAACACATGTTCTTCTACAGTGATCTGTAAAAGACATTCAAAATTTTTTATGTCTTTCTAGTTTAAAAAATACATATAGATAACCAATAGAAGAGAAGATGAATCTTATCTTTAGGAATCTACGTGTTAGCTGGTGGCTAGTGTGGAGGTAGGTTTTGATGTTGAACAACAAGCTGGTCTGGCTTGCAAGTAATAACGACTTGCCTTTGATTGGGGAAGGGGCAACTGGGCATTGTGTTAACAGCATTTGGTTTTGCAACAGTTATACAAGTAGTAGGAAGGTTGAAATATGAACTCTTCTCATTAGACGAAAGAAGAGCTAGACTTGTGGATGAAACATTTTTAATTATTTTCTGTGTACTTGAATTATATAGCTAAGTAATGTAATATAATCTATTTCAAATGCAAGAGGAACAATAAATGAAAAACATGGTTTTTCTAAACTGATAACGTGATACTTGAACTCAGAAGCAAGGAGGTTGTTTTCATGTAACTAAATAATGCTTAAAGTAATGTATTTAGTTGTAAAATGAGCTTCAGTAGTGTTTTAAATGTTTCCAGAAACTTGGGAATACCACGTATTTTATTTAGATGCAGTTTAAAAATTTCACAGACCTGCAATTCTGGAAAATAAATCCCAAAACAAAACCGAAAAACAAATCCATTTAAAAAAATGCAATAAATTAACAGCTGATACAGTTATTGTGATTCAGTGAGGTATGAAGTTTCTACACTAGTAGACATTTTTCTGAAGACTCATTAAATAAAGAAATTTGATTTGCTTATGAGTATGAAAGTTCATGCCTTCTTTAATAGAATTAGGCATTTGCATCTTCATTTTTCTACTTTCCCCTCTTTGTTGTAAAATCTACTAAAGGGCTGACAGAGCCTTCTAAGATTTATTACCACAGCCTAGCTTTTCTTTTTCTGAATGGATGATTCTTTGGACTTCTGTACCACATCTGTAATACTAACAACCCATGATTCTTTAGTTACTACTTGGACATTGTAGACTCAGGAGTTTATTTCATCCCGACAATTTTTTTAGATACATTAGGTTCATAGTTTCTCACACTGCAATATCTAATCCTAGATATTAGATTTTCATTAGTGTTATGATTCGTAGGATTTTTCTGCTTGAGGCTCTGCCTTGGAGGAGCAAGTAACCAAAAATGTAGCTAAATGGTTACTTACCTGCCTACCCTCCTAACAGTTTGCTGAATAGTACACAATTCAGAAAATGTTACAATAATGTGGTTTCCCAGCTGAACTGATAGCAGCAAGAGTAATGATCTGCTAGTAAAAGTTGGATCTGGGTTGAGGTGAATGTTGGTGAGAACTGAATCAATGACAGTTTGTTCAAATCAGAAGTCAGATATTTTTCTTTTTTTCTTCAGCTCAGCTAATCAGGAAAGGACTGTTTCACATGTTTGGAAAATAATCACTTGAAATTGCCAAGATACTGAAACAATCTTGAAGCAGACTTGATACAGGAGTGAGGATGAAAATGGAAGAAATTTCTTCCTTTCAAGCAGTGTTCTTTGACTATTCATTCACTATTATCAAATATCACCATGGGCTTAAATTCTTACAATACTGTAATACAAAACACTCATATTAAACACAAAAGCAGTTCTTTTGATACCAATGTAAGTATTTTATGATCATTTGGAGAAAGTAATGATGCTGTCTGCATTTTTAAGGGATCGTATGATTTTCTTAAGAAACCCATAGGAACTTGTGGCTGTAAAGCCTGAATATTTAAGTTTTTTTGTTCTTTTTATATTGCTCTCAGAAACAATGTCTTTCTTACCTTCCATAATTATTAAACTAAATATTTTTAAAATTTTATCTTGAGAAAAATATTTGCTCTCTTCTTTGGATTTTTGAATGCAATAAATGACCTGCAGCCATTGAACTTTTTAACTATTTGCATCAAAATCAACACACCCCAACGTGACTACAGTAAAACTAAAAACAAAACCCCAAAATATGAATTTTGACTAAGTTTTTTCTCAGCAGAAACCTTTCGCTTTGAAAATGAAATAAAATATTAACAGATTGTTATTTTCCCAATAGGCATATATTTATATTCTTGCATACTGAAATAAGTGCTATATCAAGCCTGCTGATGAGGACATGGAGGCAGATGAGAAAATTGTCACTGTTTTTAAGAAGCTAAAAAAAACCGCCTTCTTCCTTCAATGATGATTTGAGTGATTCGTCAACCTCATTATTAAAAATTCATGCCTTCCTACATGAATTTGTCTGCAGCTTTTAGACAATATTTGCTGTGGTTTTCTTCACTATATTAAAGAGCCCTTTGCTATGCAGAGGAGTTTTTTTTGTTCCCCTCTTGTTCTCTTTGAGACACTTGTGCTGTAATCAAATCACATTTTGGTCTTCCTTCATCTTTCTTTTTATGTCCAAACAGATTAATGAGCTCTTTGTCAAAAGTAATTTTCTCTTTCCTCTCAAATTTTAAATAATAATACAAATACCAAATTCTGAGCTCAGTAAGATCACTGAGATCAGTAAGATTTGGGCTCCTAAAATCTCTAATGAATTTGCACTAAATTCCAGTCCTTATATTTTCTTTTATTTATTTATTTATTTATTTATTTATTTATTTATTTATTTATTTATTTATTTATTTTAATCATCTTGAGTGTTCCTTATCTATGTTTAAAGCAATTGTGGCAATACCAACCCTTTTTGATTAGGTGGTACCGTGAGGTGTAAATTCAGTTTGTGTTAACTAAATGCATCAGAGGTGCTGCTTTGCATGGTTGCAGTTCTCCAGGAATCAGGCCCGGCCCACTTCTTTATAATTTCAGAGATGATCTCAGTGTTTCTTTCGGTAATCTATGAATGCCAGATGGTTCAGTAGATCTGTGAAAATCTGCTTCCCAAGAGAATTCCAAGACAGATTTTCAGGGCTCCTGAAGTCTGTTTTGTCAAGGAAAATTGAGGGTCTGTATATGAATTTGCCTTTGTTACTATATTATGGATTTTTGTGTGGCCAGTTACAAATGTGTTAGCTAAACCAACATAATCATATAGACTAAGAATTCATAGACCTGAGGTAAAAAGCTTTAATTTTTTTTTTTTGCTTGTGATTTCACCTCCTGTTTCACTTATTTTACTTGCTTCTGCGGTTCAGTTTACATCTGACTTATTACCTTGTTATTTTGAAAGCTACTACTCTCTAGGATAATATTGATCAAACTTGGAAAAGAAAATACAGGCTGGAATACGGACACCATTCTAGCAGTCTCTGCATTAATTAGTACCTCTACTTATATGTGGTGCTGAGCTTTTTTAACACAGTATAATGAAAAAAATTGAATTTTTAGTTAAGACTGCTTAAAGAGAGCATCACTATGTGCTTGCAACTTTAAAATAGGCT